TGCATCTGTAGACCAGCCAGAGAGATGAACACTCTTGCTCAGCTTGCTCCCTCCCTTCTGTACATAAAAAGCAGGACTAGGAAGGGATGGTACCAGCCTCCTTTAAGGGGGTCCTCCCACCCCAATTTACCTAATCATGGTAATCCCTCACAGGCATAGCCAGAGGCTCATTTCCAGGTGATTCTGGATCCTGTTAAATTGCTAATGGATATTAATCACCACAGAGTCCCTATTCCAGGATGACCTTATTGTGATTGAAGACACCTGCAAGGTCCCTCTTTCTAAGGAAGGTCACATTCTGGGGTGCCGGTGCCTAGGGCTTCAGCATATCCTGGGAGACACAATGCAGCCCATAATAGCAGTTTCCAGTGGAAGGTGAGCAAAGGAGCAAGTCACTTCCCCTCCCTGACTCCCACTTCAACAAAGTCACCTCTGTCCCTGCTCTGTGCTCTTCTTCTCAACTGCCAGAAAATAGCTCCAGCTAATGCTGAAAACTCCAGGCTACTGTGGACCCAGCTAGTGCCCAGAAGGTTTGCAGTCACCCAGAAGCCAGGCCTGCCCCTTGCCCCTCACTCCCTACCCCTATACCTGTAGGGCCAGCTCCCTACACCCTTCACAGTCCCTTTGTAATGTACCCAGACTGTTCCCTTGTATAGAATGCTGAAATGGGTCGGGGGTACTGACATATTGGCCCACACCATAAGCCCCTGAGCTCTGCTCTGGACAACCCCAGACTCTCCCCATGTTCTGTCATCGATTCCTGCAATGTTCCTGGAATATTCTGGACACTGCTTTTTGACCCACTTCATAAATGTGGCACCCATTTGGAGACTGGGTGAAGTACCCACCTGAATAAGTCTGGCCCTGCCTTCTGAAGACCCCTTAGAAAGCTGGAGCGCAAAAGCCCACCTGGGAAAGCGTTCCCATGATGGGACATTTGGGGCGTACCTCAACAAATCAGAAAAATGAACGCTGATAGACCGTAAAGGGTCAGTGTTCGCACCAGCCAGAAGTCCCCAAACACCACAGCGCCAATACGCTCCAAGGTGAACAAAAACAGATTCTGATGACTCCGAGATGGAATGCATTAGCAAAAGCAAAACTGCTGGGGCACCATTCTCAGGTCAAAAGGCCCAGGTGTGTCCCCAGCCTCCTGCCAGCAGCTAAGAGCGGGCAGCCCTCGGGCGCCCCCTGCTGGCCGCGCTGCACAGCGGCAACAAGAACGCCCGCGCAGGTCGGTGGGCACAGAAGAGGCCACCCCTCAGCTTAGCTGCGTCTCGGGGTCAGCTGCCTCAAGGGCAACCTAACCCGGCCGCTGTGACCTTCAGAGACCGATCCTGCAGCTGGACGTAGCCCAAGCTGTAAGAGCATTAAACCGGGCCAACGTGGCTCAGGGGGCTGCCAGCTCCTGGCACCCTTGCACACCCGCTGCTTGCTGTCTGGAGTCGTCGAGGGGACGGTAGGATGGAGGGAGGAGCCTGTCAGGGTCCAGGCGGGTTGGTGGACT